CCACCCAGCCCCCAGCACTGCCCCCCAACACCCCCCCAGGTCCCAGGTTCAGCGTCTCCTTCTGTGCCCAAGGGGTTCTGCCAAAATCGGGGGGATAAGACCCAAAAGGACCAAAAAACAAGAGTTTTGTGGACCGTCAGCCAGGGGGTGAAAGACAGATACGGGGTGCCCTGGGGGAAGGGGGACGGCCCCAGGGGAGGAACGATACGGGGTCCCTGGTGGGGGACACCCCAGGGTGTCCCCAGGAGATGCAGGGACCTGGGAAGGGACAGTTATGGGGTCCCCGGGGGGACAGGCAGCATGCACGGGGCGGGGGGATGACAGACAGAGGTCCCCTGGAGATATGGGATCCCAGGGAGGGATGGCTACGGGGCTCCGGCGGGACAGGCAGCATGCACGGGGGACAGCTGGGGTCCCCTGGAGATACGGGATCCCAGGGAGGGATGGCTATGGGGGGACAGGCAGCATGCACGGGGGGGACAGCTGGGGTCCCCTGGTGATATGGGGTCCCCGAGGGACCTGCAGCACACACAGGGGAGTGGCTGCGGTCCCCAGTGGGGTCCCTGGGGAGGGACGGCAGTGGGATCCCCGGGAGACAGGCAGCATGCCCAGGGGGATCCCCCACAGTCACGGGGTCCCCGGGGAGGGACGGCGCCCAACCGGCACCGCCGTGTGTCCACCCTCGCCACCGCTTCGAGCACAAGGTGCCAGCCCTGTGCCCCCCCCGCCCCAACACCCTTCGGAGACCGGCCCCGAAGGGTCCCCCTGGCCCCTGCCCGGGGTCCTCCCCACCTCCATCCGTGTCCCCCCGGGGCTCAGCGGCTCAGTTTGTGGGGGCGACGTTACCCCCCTCGGACTCCCTCTTGCCTCCCTTGCCGGCCGACGGGTCCCCGGCGCCCTTGACCTCGGGTTCACCCCCGTCCTTGCCCCCATCGTGCGTCTTCATGTGCTTGCCCAGATGGTCGCTGCGCATGAAGACGCGGCCGCAGATGGGGCAGGCGAATTTCTTGGCGCCGGTGTGGGTCTGGAGGTGCCGCTGCAGCTCGTCGGAGCGGGTGAAGCGTTTGCCGCAGAAGAGCCAGTTGCAGACGAAGGGTCGGTCGCCGCTGTGCCAACGCAGGTGAGCTTTCAGGTGGGAGGTCTTGGCGTATGCCTTCCCACAGCCGGGGATGTGGCAGTTGTGCAGGTGCTTGCGTTTCACCCCCTCGGGGCAGGGACCCCCCCTTTCCGCCTCCTGGCAGTTGGGGCAGCGGCACGCCGCCTGCCC